CAGCCCCCAGCCCCTGACCGTGCAGGCCGAGCACGGGCGGGCTGAGCGGCGGCGGGTCGGGGAAGGTGAAGCGCACGGAATATTCCCGGGGCCGGCGCAGCAGCTCCGGAGCCTCGGCCGCCGCCTCGGCCGGAGCGCGGCGCCGGCACTTCTGCTGCTTGCGGGTCAGCGCCTCCTTCGTCTGCTTCTCCTGGGAAATTCGGGAAATTTGGGGATTTTGGGGGGTTTTGGGGGGTTTCAGGGGGGTCAGCGCCTCCTTCGTCTGCTTCTCCTGGGATTGGGGAAATTCGGGAAATTCAGGGATTTTGGGGGGTTTTGGGGGGTTTTTGGGGGGTTTTTGGGGGGTCAGCGCCTCCTTCGTCTGCTTCTCCTGGGAAATTCGGGAAATTCGGGGAAATTCGGGGATTTTGGGGGGTTGGGGGGTCAGTGCCTCCTTCGTCTGCTTCTCCTGGGAAATTTGGGGAAATTCGGGGATTTTGGGGGGTTTTGGGGGGTTTTTGGGGGGTTTCAGGGGGGTTTTTGGCGGGTCAGCGCCTCCTTCGTCTGCTTCTCCTGGAATTTGGGGAAATTCGGGGAAATTCGGGGATTTTGGGTGTTTTGGGGCGTTTTTCGGGGGTCAGCGCCTCCTTCGTCTGCTTCTCCTGGAATTCGGGGAAATTCGGGGAAATTCGGGGAAATTTGGGGATTTTGGGGGGTTTTTGGGGGGTCAGCGCCTCCTTCGTCTGCTTCTCCTGGGAAATTCAAGAAAATTTGGGGATTTTGGGGAGTTTTCGGAGGGTTTTTGGGAGGATTGGGGTGGTCAGTGCCTCCTTCGCCTGCTTCTCCTGCAAAATCCGGGAGATTCAGGAAAATTCGGGAATTTTAGGGGGTTTTTGGGGGGTTTGAGGGGGTCACCACCTCCTTCATCTGCTTCTCCTGGGGATCCAGAGAGAATTCCAGAATTTTGGGAGATTTTGGGGTGAAATCCCAGGGATTTTGGGACTCAAACCTCTGGGAATTTTCAAGTGAAATTCCAGGGATTTCAGGGCTCAAACCCCGGGGATTTTGGGGTGAAACCCCAGGGATTTTGGGGCTCAAACCCCCCTGGGGATTTCACTCTCGATTCCCGCCCGGAATTCCGGGGATTTTGGGGTTTTTTGGGATTGGGGCCCTCACCGCCTGCTTGGTGGATTTGCCGCCGGCTTTGAGGTCCCGCAGTTTCTTCTCCTGCTTCTCGAACTGCTTCATCAGCTCCTTCTGCTTCTGCTGGTACATCTTCTTGAAGGTCACTGGAATCCGGGAATTTCCGGGAATTTCCGGGAATTTTCAGGAATTTCCAGAATTTCGGGCCGTTCCCAACCCCCCCAACCCCCTTTTTTACTTTATTTTTTTGGTTTCCTCCCAATATTCCCAATTTTTCCCCTCCATTCCCCATTTCCTCCCTCCTTTATTCCCCATTTTTCAATCCCATTCCCTGTTTTTTTCCCTCCTTTATTCCCAATTTTTCCCTTCCATTCCCATTTTTCCTAAACGTTCCCTCATTTCTCCCAGTTCCCTTTCCCCATCGTTCTCCCCCCATTCCCTTTTATCCCAAATTTTCCCAATTTTCCCAATTTCCAGCCCCTTTTTTCCCTTCCATTCCCCATTTTTACCCGGTTTTTCCCTTTTCTCCCCCATTTTTTCCCATTTTTCCTGTTTTTTTCCCCAACCCATTTTCCCTCCATTTTTTGCCATTTTTTCTCCACATTCTACCCATTTCTTTTACCATTTTTTCCCATTTTTTCTCCGTTTTTCACCCACTTTTTGCAGTTTTTTCCCCATTTTTTCCCGTTTTTTCCCAAAATCCCGTTTTTTTGCCCCAAATCTCACTGTAATTCCCTCTGTAGTAGTGCAGGCGCTGCGAGTCCAGGTGGATCCACTCCCATTTCCATTTTACCCCCGTTTTTTCTCCGTTTTTTCCCCATTTTTTGCAGTTTTTTCCCCGTTTTTTCGCCGTTTTCCCCCGTTTTTTCCCAAAATCCCGTTTTTTTGCCCCAAATCTCACTGTAGTTCCCTCTGTAGTAGTGCAGGCGCTGCGAGTCCAGGTGGATGATGTCGGTGCAGACGTCGTCCAGGAACCCCTGGTCGTGGGACACCACCAGCAGCGTCTTCTTCCAGCCCTGCAGGTAGCTGGGAACGGGAATTTGGGGGGAAAA